AGTTAATCATCAAGCAACAGGGTTCCTTTGGTACTAAAAGAGTTAATCATCAAGTAACCGTTCCTTTGGTACTAAAAGAGTTAATCATCAAGTAACAGAGATCCTTTGGTACTAAAAGAGTTAATCATCAAACAACAGGATTCCTTTGGTACTTAAAGAGTTAATCATCAAGTAACAGTTCCTTTGGTACTAAAAGAGTTAACCATCAGGTAACAGGGTTCCTTTGGTACTTAAAGAGTTAATCATCAAGTAACAGTTCCTTTGGTACTAAAAGAGTTAACCATCAGGTAACAGGGTTCCTTTGGTACTAAAAGAGTTAATCATCAAGTAACCGTTCCTTTGGTACTAAAAGAGTTAATCATCAAGCAACAGGGTTCCTTTGGTACTAAAAGAGTTAATCATCAAGCAACAGAGTTCCCTTGGTACTAAAAGAGTTAATCATCAGGTAACAGGGTTCCTTTGGTACTAAAAGAGTTAATCATCAAGCAACAGGGTTCCTTGGTACTAAAAGAGTTAATCATCAAGCAACAGAGTTCCTTTGGTACTAAAAGAGTTAATCATCAAGTAACAGAGTTCCTTTCCACACGAAAGGCTACCTTTCAAGAAAAGACTTGTAGTGAACACAATGGGCTAAGCAGCAATCAATAGGGCTCTATGGTAAAAAAGAAGGTTTAACAAGCAATCAACATGGTAGCTGTGATACATGAAGGGTTAACCATCATGTAACAGGATTTTTTCAGTATACAAAAGGTAACCATCAAGCTACAGGGTTCCTTCAGTACACAAAGGGTTAACCATCAAGCAACAGGTTTACTTCAGTACACAAAGGGTTAACCATCAAGCAACAGGTTTACTTCAGTACACAAAGGGTAAACCGCCAAGCAACAGGGTAACTTCAGTACACAAAGGGTTAACCATCAAGCAACAGATTTACTTCAGTACACAACGGGTTAACCATCAAGCAACAGGGTTCCTTCAGTACACAAAGGGTTAGCCATCAAGCAACAGGTTTACTTCAGTACACAAAGGGTTAACCATCAAGCAACAGGGTTCCTTCAGTACACAAAGGGTTAGCCATCAAGCGCCCTGACAGATAATAACGGTTTTGATCTTTCACCCTACACCGTGTTGACCCTGCAAGGGGATCGCCATGTTGACATGCACATTAAGAAAGATGAATGTGTCGGCCGCCATGACGCTGCCAGGGACGCAGGTCGATCATTAAGGTAACGTTCAAAAACTGTATGGTTATTTTCAAGTCTTTGAAAGACAGCCGCAGCAAGATAACACAGTCATGGTTAACTGAAAACTCGTCATTCAGACCGTACAGTGCGATACTCCGATGCTCGTACGCAGTAAACTGATTGAATGAGACTTTGCGCTTTAGCTGGTTGGCACTGGACCCGACTGGCCGTTTAGCCTTGATGGGGCACTGTTCACACATGTACATGAATCACATTGGGTAATTAGCTTGGAAACTTTACTTTCAACTTTTATCCAAGTCTCATTTGAAAATACATCGTAAACATCCATTGCTTGATATCCTGCCATTAAGAATTGATCATAGTCGGCTTACGTATAAAACATAAAAATGATCAGATAAAAGACACGAGGGCAGCTTAAATGCAAACGATGCGCCCGGTCTGTGCTTAAAATGCTTTTTTTTTAGGAATTCCGAAACTGAATGATTATTACATTTGTGTAATTTAGCAACAGAGTTAGGTAGTCGTGTTATGATTGTGCAGAGTTGCGTCCCTTGGGTATGAAAGGATCCTGTTTTAATCCTTTGGAATCCCATGTTCTCCATCCTGGATTTTAACATTGTGAAATAATAACATATACAAAACACTTTCAAGCTTCCAAATTTCCCGACACATAGTCAATAAATGAATATATTTCAACACCGCAGTCAGCAATATTCCTGCTAAGCCAACTATCTGTACATAATCGAGTCTCAGGATAGGCATACCAGTGGTTGACAGCATGAGCAACAACCCACGTTGTCCACAATGATGTAACCACCACATGACCCACGTGGCGTACCGGGTGGCGTATTCTGCCCTGCTAGTCCCTGGCTGACCTGATTATGTTTGTTTGGGGTTTTGGATTTTATTTGTTTTTTCGGCACCGTATCAAAACATACCCTATCTTCTCTGATAGGGTGAGCCGAATCGTAGTAACGCGCCCCATCTCTCTCTCTCTCTCTCTCTCTCTCTCTCCCTCTCTCTCTCTCTCTCTCTCTGAGAAAATGAAATGATCGCTTCCCAATTGTCAAGATACCAATAATTATATCAATTATGATCAATTAAAGATATCCTTGATAAATATTTCCACTAGCTACGTTGCTATTGGCAACATATCCACAGGGTGGGACCTCTGTATAAGGATATCAGGACCGTTTGAATGGCTTCCCAACAAACCACCACATCATGCGTGACATCACATGCGAGTCTCGACGATATCAAACAAATCCATGATCCTTTGAAATGAGTCATATCAAAGATATATACTGTTATCACTCAACCCGTATCAAAGGAGTCTGTTATCATTTTAAGATATCAAAGAATCGTATGATATGCTTTGTTACAAAAGAGAAGGAAATTAATCGTATAGTTTGGATATCCAACGCTAATGTGTCCCACCTTGCTTCGCAGAAGGCAAGGGGAATGAAAGACCAGCTCAAGCTTGGACTCCGTCTGGAGAGCGTTAGTGGTATGGTTGAAACATTTTCCGACACATTTTTGGGTCTGACTTTCGGAACGGTATTTCTATTGAGCTTGCGTTATCAGATCCAGCTAACCTCACGTGTCCGGAGTCACAATTGTGTTTGAATAAATTGAAGTGTTTCATGAAGTTGATTATGTTGTAAGGGTCGACTCTGCATACATGGATCTTGAATGTTGTAAAACAATTACTTGATGAATGTTAATCTGCAAATAGTGTACAGAAAAGGGCATCTCTTTCATCTTTTGAAATAACCGATAAAAAGGGTTGTCTCGGGCATTTGGTCGCCTCGTGTTCTCGTGTGCATGTATTGGTTATGTCCTGTCTGTGAGTGAGTGAGTGAGTTGGGTGTAATGCCGCTTTTAACAGTATTCCAGTTATATCGCGGCGTGTCAGCTTAATGTGGGAGGAAAGCCCGAAGTGATGCAGGTCTCAGACGTTTACCACTTCGGTGAAACCCACGAGCACGGGTATGGTGCTGACAAACCTAGAAACATAATCGGGGCGAACCGGGATTCGAACCCACAATCATAGGTTTCTGGCGTGCCCAAGGGACGCAACTCTGCACAGCGAATCGCGGCGCCTTGGACGACTGGGCCACCCGTGCCCCCGTCCTGTCTGTGAACTAAATATTATCGCGTAACTAGTAACACAGACCTGTCTTCAACCCTTGCTTTTACTACTACTACTTCTACTATTACTACTACTACTACTGTCACTTATAATTAACTCATCGCGATGCTCATAACATCAGTCACTGGATTGTCTGGTCCAGACTAGACTATTTACAGACCACAATCATATAGCTGGAATATTACTGAGTGCGTCGTTAAACAACAAACAATCGACATCCATCTTCTACCGCTGTCACTACAGCTGTTACTACTGCTACTGTAACTTGTACGACAGCTGGTGTTGCTATTACGACAACTAGAGATCCCCATACTACCACCAGGGAGTCTATACAGGGGGTCTTTGAATAGCTTCCTGCTGCTACTAACGCTACTTCTAATACAAATACTTCAATTAGATAAGTTTGTTTGTTTGTTTGTTGTTTTACGCCGCACTCAGCATTATTCCAGCTACATGACGGTTGTCTGTAAATAATCGAGTCTGGACCAGACAATCCACTGATTGACATCATGAGCATCGATCCACGCAATTGGGGTACGATGACATGCATAAACCAAGTCAGCGAGCCTGACCATCCGATCCCACTAGTCGCCTCTTACGACAGGCACAGTCGCCTTTAACGCAAGCATGGGTTGCTGAAGACCTTTTCTACCCCGGATCTTCACGGGTTAATTAGTTAAGTATTATGTAATCGTTGTCATGTGTTACTATAATATGTTATCGACTGCTTCTCCTGCTAGTTTAAGGAGCCCTGTTGTCTGAGGCGCATTTATTCGCCGTGCCGAGTTGCGTCCCTTAGGCGTGTCACTAACATATGATCGTGGGTTCGAATCCCACATTCGTCTTGATTATGTTTCTAGGTTTGTTAGCACCATACCGTGTTCGTGGGTTTCACTAATGTGGTAAACGTATGCCTGCATCAATATGGCCTTTCCTACCATGCGAAACAACTAAAATATTGTTGAAACACCGTGAAAACAAACTCACTCATCGACTGTACTACTTTTACCAATAAAGTTTCTAACTGCAACATCTACTGTGACAACTTCAGCTATTGCAACTACACCGGCAACTGCTAATGTTACGTTACTGTGATACTGCCACTATTCGTTCTACAATAATTACCACGACTTGTAAGGATGTAAGGATGTAAGGAAACCGGTAATCACGCATATCGCAAGATGAGGCCGAATAAATACAAAACGACAACAATCGAGGTCCCCATTCATTATCCCCATAACCTGAACGCAGGTCTCATGTGACCAGCATTCTCTGTAGCATAATTTCTTCCTTGAAGTTATAGCTGTCTTATGTGGAATTTCAAGTACGCCTTTCATGTCAGGCCGGTGATGTGCAACAATAACAGGTAGCTAGTCGTAGGGCAACAGTATCGCTTTTTAACCTTGAGATCCTGATTAGGGGCCCTTAGGACTAGCGTAGTAATCGGAGGAATTTTCACAGCGGGAGAAACATAACTATCGCTTGGGTTTGCCACGCCACTTAGTTTAATGGCTGTTGGGGCGAGACGAGACGCTTTCATGAAGGAACTATTTTGTTTACATGGTTTCTTTGGTAACAATTTAACAACTTTCATACCTCATTGATAGAAGAGTCACTCAAGGCTAATAACCCGAACTACTCACCCAGCCGGGCTTCCGTCGTTGCATGTGACGGGGCTGTGACGAAGTAACTTCCTTCGGAATTTCGGTTGTTCCTTAATGCCGCAGCTGTGAGTTGTGATCGCTATGTGACGTAACAACAATTGTCCCTGGCTGCCAAGTTCGTTAAGTTTTTCAGTGTTTAAAGTGATATCGTTCCTTCCTCTGTCGGCAGGTCCGGCATTTACAATCACGAGACACATCCATGAAAGAAGATGGTGAAGCTCCATTTTGTTACAAAGCCTGAAAAAGAAATAACAGCAATAAATAACACATAACAACGCCACGGCTCGTCGGTGTCAGAGTTTAAAAGCAACCATATACGTGTGGGTATTCATACAAACGAGAGAAAAAAACACTCTTTCAGATAAATGGCTACCTTATTCGTAAATCCATGAGTGAAAGAGCGGAAAAAACATACGAGTGGGTATTCATATGAAAGAGAAAAAACAGTTCTTTCAGACAAATAGTTACACATGCTACCTTAAACGTTTTCGTCATCTTCGTAGTGAAAACTGTAGCAACGTATCCAATAGGGTCTCAAAGCAAGATAAGGTTAAGCGTAAATAAGATCACTTGATTCGCAAATCAAAGGCTTGATCAAACTGGAAGTACAAGAGATAGAAAGGAACTCCCGCCTTTGAAAAAATCTTCCAATGGTAAGCAGGGGCCGAGCTCTTCCAGGACCAAAGAGATAAGAGCGGCTAAGATCAAAGGAAACACTACTCTAATGAGGCCTAACTCAGTATCGGTGATCAGGCGTGGATAGAAGGGAAGGGGGAGATTGGGGAACACGTAGAAGGGGGTACAGCGTCCGGCGAGAGACTAGAAAGGTATTAGCAATACGAAAGCTTATTTGGCGAACAGGCAGTTCGTGCCTTCACACAATCTGGTATCTGTGAGATCATCGGAGAAGGAGAGAGCAGTGTTTGGTAAACGGTAACCTACAACAAACCAATTTTCCTTTGATATCCAATCTCCAGTAAACCAAGCGTACCAAAGCATAAACAAAACTCAACGTTGTCTGAATGAAGGAATGGTCGGCTGCGTGTTGAGAATGGCACAAGTTGAGGAAACGGCGACATTGGCACCCCGATACTTATACAAACTGTTCCGCTAGAGAAGCGTGGGTATATTGAAGCGCATGCTTTCCGATGTTATCTCATCGAAATTGGATTAGAACACTGGCGGATCAGACAGTGGGGGTGGACGGTACAAGGCTTTCTAATCGAATAAACCACCGTTTTAAGCAAACTACACACGGGCGTCTATTTTCGGTAGGGTTTTCAATACGAGCGAGTGCTGGTTGAGCCACGCGTCGCTGATGTTAGTATCCATAATTGATAAATTGAGGACGCTCACGGGGAACGCTTATCTTAATAAAAGTTGGGGAGATTAAAGGCTACCATAGTAAACCGCCCTGAAGATCGTCAAAGGGCAAAGGTTAACCTTGTTATAGTAGAGTTATGGATCAAGAAGGAGTTTATAGACGTGTAGAAAGAAGGTAGTGCTGTTGGACGTCACATATATACATCCCATGGGCGTATTGTTAAGCTTATGCCTCGTGTCTGTAGGGAGAGGTAGAGAGATAAAGTCCGACACGCATATTACATATTTTCTTTCCGTTGAAGAACTTGATTCAGTTCGGACAGGAGCTGACAATGGATAGTCCTCATGATGTCTACAATTTCGATTTTGTACTGTAATTTTGATGTTATTCGGTTATCAATACAAACTATACTATCCATACTTCAATCCAAGGCAACCATGCTTGTCAAAGAGGCGACTATGCTTGTCGTAAGAGGCGACTAACGGGATCGGGTGGTCAGGCTCGCTGACTTGGTTGATGCATGTCATCGTATCCCAATTGTGTGGATCGACGCTCATAGTGCCACTCGCTACATTGTCTGATCTACACTCATATATTTACTTACCGCCGCCATATGGCTGGAATATTGCTGAGTGCCGCGTTAAACAACAAGCACACAAACAAACACGGTAGTAGTTTGCATACAAACACGAAGAATAAAATCAGAATCTTTTTCTAATACTCTGTGAATGGTATTGAGTTGTTTTTGTGATTGGGCATTGGTCTCAGTGTTGTTTTAGTGATGAGACATTGGTCTCAGTGTGTTGTTTTTGTGATTGGGCATTGGTCTCAGTGTGTTGTTTTGGTGATGGGACATTGGTCTCAGTGTGTTGTTTTAGTGATGGGGCATTGATCTCAGTGTGATGTTTTGGTGATGGGGCATTGGTCTCAGTGTGTTGTTTTGGTGATGGGGCATTGGTCTCAGTGTGTTATTTTGGTGATGGGGCATTGGTCTCAGTGGTGTTTTAGTGATGGGGCATTGGTCTCAGTGTGTTGTTTTTGTGATTGGGCATTGGTCTCAGTGTGTTGTTTTAGTGATGGGACATTGCTCTCAGTGTTGTTTTAGTGATGGGACATTGATCTCAGTGTGTTGTTTTAGTGATGAGACATTGGTCTCAGTGTGATGTTTTGGTGATGGGGCATTGGTCTCAGTGTGTTGTTGTAGTGCTGAGACATTGGTCTCAGTGTGTTGTTTTAGTGATGGGGCATTGGTCTCAGTGTGTTGTTTTAGTGATGGGGCATTGGTTTAAGTGTTGTTTTAGTGATGGGGCATTGGTCTCAGTGTGTTTCTTTAATTGTGAGACATTGGTCTTGAATTGTTGTTTTAAAGGTGAGACATTGGCCTTGAGTTTTAATGGCGAGACATTGGGATCGAACCGGGTCTAAAGTCTAAAGAGAAACGCCTTAACCACTAGACTTTCTACCCCCACAGTTCCTGGTTAGTACAGAAACAACAAAAACAACAAACAGACAATCTTTCGCAATCTCTTCTGCGATGTATTCCGTATATATTTGAAAATCCTACAGATGCCTTATCTGGTGAGCTGCTGGCGGTTGTTGCCCGACTTGGATACTAACATACGTAGTTCTCAGGGAAGCAGCGTATTACCAGCTTGTTTAATGCCTTTACTGCAGGTGGCACCACTGGTATATACAGGTAGCTGTCTTCGTGGTGTTTAAACACGTCTCCTAAATGAAGCGTTTCTCGACACATAGTGGCGACTTAGCCTGGGCTACCGCACCTGGGCAATGGTTGGGAACTCCTCCGATATCGTCCTCGGTGTGAAAAGCGTGCAGCACGTGAAACACGTGCTCCTTAAGTGTCTGCGATATGAAGCGGGAAACACTCGTTTTGCAAGAACAAAACGACTTTATAGAATAGGAATGATACTTCGTTGAGGTTACTGCGTACATATCTCATTCCAGCAGTTTATCGAGGGAACTATCTTCTCGCCACGGAGTACTACATCAAAACAGACAGACACACGTCCGTGAAAGGCGGAGGAATATGTGAACCGGTTGAACTTAGTTAAGACGTCCCAACAACTATTTGCATGTGTGCACTGATGTCTGCCGGCGGGCATCAGGCGACAGGTGCCCGCGTCATCGTCGTGTCATGATGGACCTCGTGGTTTATATTTACCAAGATCAAAACCAATCTCTGAGTCACAAAGCAAAGATAATTTGCTCCACTATGTTTTCTAGGAAAAGTGTCAAAAAACATGATGATTATGATAGATGTCTTTGTCAAAATTTCTCCATGCCAAGAAATCTTGGTGACTTTTAAACTCAAAACAGGACGTATTCTTGAATACACATAGGACATGTTAAGTCTACGTTAAGTCGACTCATATCCATGGTCATTAAGTTTAAACAATGGATATCACATTCAGTTTAACAGTCAGAAAGTAGGGCAGTGATTTGAGACCAACACTCCCACGATATTTCCTAACAACTAGTTATGTTCTGTGCCCTTCGTGTTAAAGGCAATTTAAGCAACGGTTACTGGTCGTTTACAGGTGCTGTCTTGGATACTAAATGTTTACCGTTAACACAACAAACCGTAAGATTCACAAAATACGTTGACATTAATGGGTAAAATATTGGCGAAAATATTAAATAGATAGTAACAGTCAAAGTGCTACTTCTGTTTCAAAGTGATGGCGAATATATGCGAAAGAGATTGACGTGCCGCGGACTTTATTTCTATTCGAGCATAGTTCAGGGGGTATGATTCTCTACGCCTGTTTACTGTTCGTTCAGTCCTGACGACAGGGGTTCGTAAGTTTATTTGTTTGTTCTTTAACGCCGCCATATTCCAGCTACATGGCAGCGGCCTTTAAATAATCGAGTCTAGATCAGACAATCCAGTGGTTGATATTGAGAGCAACAATTAACGCCGTCGGGGTAAGATGACATACAATGAACCTTGTCACTGATCACCCGATTCATTTGACAGACTCTTAATATATGACCCAAACAGGTTGCTGGGGTCAATTCTAACCCCCACGATGTTACAGCTTGTTTGCCATCGTATCCAAACTGTGAGGTGAGGTGAAATGGGGTTTAACGTCGCTTAAAGATTATTGAACTTATATAGCGACATGCATGCACATGTGTGTGTGTGTGGCTGCTTGAACTAGTCCGGACTGATGCCGATTAATAGTTCAAGCCCACTGAGATACCATGCCGCAGTTTAACATGAACACCCCACTCAGACACAGTTTCCGACTCCCAGCCGACCAGTCCTTGTTTTAGCCCCTTAATGCCTAGCGCCAGACAGGGTAACAACAAGTACCATCTTTTAACGTCTTTTGGTATGACGCGGTCGGGGATCGAACCATGGACCATCTGCTCTCCGGGTGGACGCTCTACCACTAGACCACGGAGGCGGTCTTCTATCCAAACAGTGACTGTCATCTATGCTCGTGGTACTTGCTTGCCTGGTCCAGAATCGGTCGTTCATACAGGTGTCATGAAATAACTGGAATATTGCTTACTGCGGCGTTGGACAACATTCACTCACAATCTTATTACCAGGTCTGGGAACGCCAGAAACCCAAGATCGTAGGTTCGAATCCCGATTGGCCCCGATTATGTTTGTCGGCAACATGCTCGCGTTCGTGGGTTTCATAAAGGGGTTAGCGTCTAAGACCTGCATCACTTTGGGCTTTCCTCCCACATTAAGGGACACGTGGCGATATAACTGGAATACTGTTCAAAGCGGCGTTAAACCCAACTCACTCACTCACTCATGACTGGAGATTCATTCATAGGACTCCGGGTCGTGGCATTCTCTAGAAATGGTTAAATTATTTGACGCACGACTGCCGAACACATCAGTACTCTGTGTGACCAGACTCAAGAACATCTG